AATACTGTCTAATTATTGTGCTGAGGAAGATAACCTTTATATTACCACTGGAATTATTACTTTTCCAGTGATCCTGGAGTAATTATAATATCATCATGTGGTGGCCAACAAGAGTCAAACAAAATCCACACCTCTTTCAGAAGCTTAGTTGTCCAGCTGAAAGACACAGTGTGATGTGACTTCCCAACACTTGTCACTATGTCCTGAAATATCAGTTGAGGACCCTTAATCCAATAGACAAAGACCAAAAAAACCCCAAACAGATTCACCTTTCTTTTCCCATAATGGAGAGGAGAGATAGAAACTGTGACTGGTCTTGGAGAAATCTTTCAGAGATGTGTTGGTAAATCCAGTGAAAACATGGAGCAAACAGGGAGTAAAGAAATGCAGATCCTGGAGATGACAAAAGACATCAGCTGAGATAAAAATAGTTCTGGCAGCTGTATAAGTCTCATTTTGACCCTCCTCAAATTAAATCAAAGCAGTTCATTTTGACTTGATCTGGTCTTAAACTCCACAGAGCTCTGAAAAAAAAACAAACCTCAGATCTCAGCAAGTGGAAAATAAAAGCAAGTGGTAGAAGGGAAGTGTAAGAGGTCAAACCATTGCATTAAGCTCATGTGAATGGTCTATTTTAAAATTGTTTTAACATGTCCTGAAATCCTGTTGGGTTGTGTTTCTCTGTGTTCAGGCTGAATTTGCAGCTGCAAAACTGGTAACATGGCAGGGATCAATTCTCATTACCAACCGTTTACTGGTACAGAACTAATGGAATTGTTTCATGCTTTGATGTTTATATTCTTATTACAATCTCTTCTTTTACTCAGATATCTGCCTCAAACTCTGCCTTGTAGCTTGAGGTGATGTCCTCATGTGGTGGGTTGGCCCTGGCTGAACACCAGGTGCCCATCAAAGCCTCTCTGACACTTCCCCTCAGCTGGACAGGGGAGAGAATCAGAATTTTAGGGGTTGGAATGGACTTCAGAGATCATCCAGCCCCAAGCCCTGCCCTGGGATCTCTTGTCCCCCATGAACCTCCAGGGGTTGCAGGTGGAGCTCTCATCCCCCAGGGACCTCTGTGGGCTGCTGGGCACAGCTGTTTCACCATACTGCACCGAGGGCTGCAGAGAATTTCTGCTCCAGCACCTGCAGCACCTCCTTCTACTCCCTCCACTGGCCTTGGTTCCTCTCACACCTCACTCCTCTCTCCAGGAGGTGCAGGTGCTGCCCCTGATGGCCCAGCCATGGCAGTGGTGCCTCTGTCCTTGAGTGCTGGCTCTGCTGGGCATGAGGAAGCTTCTGTCAGCTTCTCCCAGAAGTTACCCCTGTTTGGTAGCCCCCTGGCACCAAAGCCTGGCCCCACAAACCCAGCACACCTAGTCAGCATTGCTTCCTCGATACCCCAAGCTGCAGCTTTGATAAATTCCTCATTTCTTAGCTAAAACCTCACCATATTTAAGAAATTTCATATTCACCTTTCGGCTAAGGTTTCATACAGGTTCTTCAGCAGAGTATCATGACTATTTCTGCAGGGAGATGTCTCCTTGCTTTCAAAAATAGCTTCTTTACTGACAACTCTATCAATCTCATATGTTGCAAAAGGTTGTTTTTAGAAATTCTCTTCTGTGGGACAAATTAAAGAAAGATCCAAGTGTCTTCCCCTTTAGATTTCAGTGCCAAAAAAAATTACAATGCAGATCTTTGCATCATATGACAATTAGCTAATAATTCATTTCTTTCACCACCTTAACTGCCACATATATTCCATACCACCTACAAGAGCTTTCCTAGCTCTGCACCTGCTCAAATTGCCTATTCTATTGCTTTAGCCAAAATAAATTGTCATTTCTAACACTGAAAGACTAAATGAGCAAGGATAAAAATCCCATTGCTCTGAGCCACAACCTAGAGCCTTGCAGAAAAGCTCCTTATGGCTTTTCCCCCCTCACTAAGGGCTTTGCCCTTCAAGCTGCAAAATCCCTTGGCTTGGGAAGTGGAAATCAAGCTCACCTGACATCCAAGTACTTCCCTCAGCCACTCGCCAGCCCTTCCAAAAGCACAGAGTGCAGTTTTTAGGGCTATGCATGGAATTGGATCATTTCCTGCATTTCTAGCAATTTGCCTCTGTCACCCTCAGTGAACCAACTTGCCTTGATGTGAAGTGACTGCCCAGACACAGCCCAGAGAGGCATTTCCCCGTGCTCATCAATGGCTCTTGTTCTGCTCTGCCTTTCCCTCTGAAAGCATCTTAAACCACTACATGTGAAAGCCAAAGTGATAATAGATCATTAGACAAGAGGCAATTTGGAGACTAAATGAGCTAACTGCAAGAGAAATTGTTTGCATACTAGATATGTCCCACTAATGAGTGTTTTGACCTTCATTAACTAACAGATATTGACATTTCTTCATGTATAACACAGTGATCTTGCAAAGTGTAGACTTTGGATGACAATTTCCAAGAAAGAACAGACTGTAGAATGAGAGCAGAATGAGAAGCAGAGTGAATATCCCACTGAGACTGGATAAATACAGGGAAAAAAACCAACAGGATGAAATTAAAAGGACTAAGAAAGCAACAGGAGAAAAAAAAAGAGGATGGAAAGAGAAAAAATATTACTTGATTTTTGATTTTCCCAGTGGCACAGCTACAGCCATAGACACTTCCAGTTCATGTGCACTGCAAAAGGCAGAAAATTTGCTGGTGGAAGAAATAAGTTGCCCAAATTTCACTCTCATGAGGATACTAGCACAGACTGAAGAGATTCCTAATGCACTGCATGTTCTGGTGCCCTCAGAGCTGGGTTTGTGGCACCCAAGCAGAACTGCCCCCATTCCTCAAGCAGCCTGGACAGCAGTTCTGAGCTTTGAGACCTGCTGAGCAGAACTTCACCCCTGAACTCTTCCTACTAGACACAGATGGGAGCAGTCAGGAGCTGTAGAGATGCCACAAACAGGCACTGCCTCAGACTCAAATCAGAAAAGAGACACGTTTCACAAAGCAGCATCTCAGAGGGGTGGGGAAACATTTACAGGGCTGAACCCATGTACATTCATAACTCTCCTTTCAGTAACACCACTGGAGTTGGTGAACACAGCATTCAGTTTAAGTCCTGTAAAAGGACTAGAGCAAAGTTAGGCTGGTCTAACACCTGAGTTTACAGGGCACTGCATGGCAATGTTCTGGGTCCTCAGTCTAAACAAGTTACATTGCTTCCATCAGTCATTTCTAGGCCATTATACCCAAGTCCTAACCTTTTCTCTTGTCATGTTGCTTGCAGAAAGGAAATCTTTAAACCTGCCACTGTGCCATTGACTGTTATCCTCTCAGAGCTCTGAAAAGCATGAAGGCTGCAGCACTCTTCATTTGCCTTGTAGGATCAGCTCTTGCTACTCCAGTAAGTCCTCACCATGCTATTATTACATCAGGCACTTCATTTCCCATCTTTGAATTCATTGTGTTATCCCACTGACCTATACAAGACTCTTACTTACATGCAGATATTAATGTCTTTGTTCATTTCAGGCCCATCCTGGAAACCACAAGCTCAGGACCTATGGGCAGAGAGCTCCAGGAAAGGTACTCTCCTTGCTTTTTAAATAATAAGACGTAACCTGTAATATTCATCTCAAAGATAAAAAACATTACCACATTTGTAGTGGTTGGCAAACCGATTTAGGTTAAAAACATATAGGTCCTCTCACCCCAGGAAATAATACCAAGCATCTCATGCCTTGACTATCACACAGTTACAAACAGAACAGGACAAAAACCAAAGCTCACAAGAGAAATTTCACTTACTAGAAAAACATTGCCTGAAATGAACCCCCAAATATAACCATTACCCATATTTGTACAAGCAATAAGCTCTGCTGACAGTCAAACCTGTGGTAGTTGCAGGTCCAGTACACAAAGAGGATGCAATCCTCAATTTATCCCACCAAGTGGTCATAAGCAGTACCAACCATGTGAGAGTTTTAGTCATTTTAGTTTCCTTATTCACAGTGCAGAACATTAGATACAGCTCAGTCTGGCAAAGTGCATGGGCCACAAAATTGCTAAGAGCACTGGAGCATCTCCCCTGTAAAGACAGGCTGAAGGAGTTGGAGCTGTTGAGCCTGAAGAAGAGAAGGTTGTGTGGAGACCTCAGAGCACCTTCCAGGAGCTGAAGGGGCTCCAGGGAAGCTGCAGAGGGATGTGTTAGGAGCTGCAGGGACAGGACAAGGGGCAATGGGCACAAATTGAAGAAGGGAAATTTAGGCTAGATGTTAGGCAGAAGTTTTCCCTGTGAGGGTGGTGAGACCCTGT